GTCATTGGGTATAAAGGGACCAAGGGTGACAATCCATCACAGAAAGGAAGGGATGGAGGCAGCCAATACACTATTTATCAGCTATTTAGCTCTTATAATAATTAATAATGTCATAATGTGAATGCTGAGAGAGATTGAGAGAATACATCTTCACAACTGTTACAATATACCTGACTATACTTTAATGAATTATAATATTTCAGACATTACTAGCAAACATGCTGAGGAAATCCATTGACAAATGACATTCCACTCTCCAATCCATATACACTGTAGTTGGAAAACTTTGCGCAAAGTAGCCAAGCACAACATCCTTGGACAACCCAGATAATCAAGCAAATAACTCGTTGACAAAGCGCATCAAAGTAAAATAAATAACAATAGCCTTCTTGACATCACAGTGAAAACAAAACGGTTCAACAAATCCGTACAAACCCCGAACATTTCCTACGATTATTGAAAACATGATAAACTGAGTAAATAAATATGGGTTTCTGATACTCGTTTTGCCCCCTATCCGCCGTCGAATTCCTGCCAGCCACAGCCGAGCTTCCCTTTGTAGTATTGGCGCTGGATTTATGGAATTAGTCATCTTCCATGGCACATTTAATCCAGAGAATCATGAGCTTCGAGTAAAGTTTCAACTTGCTCGGCACATTCATCCACGAAAAACACGTCGTTTTGGCAGCTTTTCTCCCGAGTGCAGCTACCAAGGGCCTCCATTACTTTCTGAAAATAATCTACCGGCCGTTCGACACAGTTGTCGTTCAAAATATCTTGATTTAAGACCTCGTCAAGACTAAAATTGCCATTTCGAACGGCCGCCATCTTGTCAAATAATTATGCTTACGCAGCATTTTTTGAAGAATACCGCAGGTCATAATGAATGGCGAACTAGCGTTTTCGCATGCAAAAATGCCAGGCGTAAGAACTTTGATGAAATAGTAAGTACATTACAGAAGCATTTAAATCCTAAACCACTAGAAATAGCCGAACGGTTTCGTTTTTATAAGAGAAATCAGCAAGAAGGGGAGAGAATTTTAAGTTATATAGCTGAGTTAAAGAAATTAACCACACATTGCAATTTTGGAAATAACTTGGAAGAAACCTTGCGTGACAGATTGGTGTGTGGATTAAGTAATCAGCAAATTCAGAAACGTCCCCTTGCAGAGTCAAAATTAAAATTCTCCAAAGCTGTTGACATAGCAGTTGCTATGGAAACAGCCACTCGAGATGCTACAGAGATCCACAGCAAGGGTAGAGAAGAAAAACCTCTTGGTCTTGACAAACTGACACTGAACAGACCCTCGAATAGATCAGATGGTGGTCCACCTTCCCCTGTAGTGTGTTATCGATGTGGAGCTAATACCCATGTTGCAACTGAGTGTAGATTTAAGAAAGAAGTCTGTCACAAGTGTGGAAAGAGAGGTCATATTCAAAGAGCTTGCCGGGCACAACAAAGCCAGGGGCCCGGTAGACCCTCGCCCAGATCAAGATACCAGAAATCGACCAATGCCATAGAGACCGAACCAGATGAGTGTGAACACTTGTTGAAAAACCTAGAAGTTCATAATGTAAACAAATCAAACAGTGATGTCATATGGGTTGACGTGAAAGTTGAAAATCAACCACTATCCACGGAACTAAACACAGGATCGGCCGTGTCCATTTTGCCATATGACATGTTCTTGGAAAGATTTTGCGATAAGAAGTTAGAGAAAACAACCACCGTACTAAAGACCTATACTGGTGAAGTGATTGTTCCAGTTGGTTGCCTTACCATGCAAGTTGAATACTTAGATCAATCATGTCAATTGCCATTCCATGTAGTCCAGACTAAGGGTCCAGTGTTAATGGGTCGAGATTGGCTTCACAAGCTTCGCCTCGACTGGAAAACCATTAAGTTGTTGAAATCCTCAGATTTCAGCCATAGAAACCCTGGCACGACTACACAAGAGAAGCTGAAAAACCTATTGGATACGTATGCAGAGGTTTTTGAAGACAAGCTGGGAACTTTCAAATCTGCCAAAGCAAGGATAACCCTCAAAGAAGGTAGTCAACCACAGTTTCGCAAAGCTCGTCAGGTCCCATATTCCTTACGACCGAAAGTGGAGGAAGAACTGAAGAGACTTCAGAGCGAAGGTATTTTGTCGAAAGTAGAGTGGAGTGATTGGGCGACACCGATTGTACCAGTGCCGAAACAAGATGGTTCAGTCCGCATTTGTGGTGACTTCAAAGGTGCTATTAACCCAACACTACAAGCAGAACAGTATCCTCTGCCTCGAATCGAAGATATCTTTGCCCATTTAGCTGGTGGGAAAAAGTTTTCCAAGATCGACCTCCGCCAAGCTTAACATCAGATTGAGCTGGAGGAAGAATCCAAGAAGTACCTTACAATTAATACGTCCATGGGCTTGTTTCAATACAATCGATTGGTGTTTGGTATCACCTCAGCTCCCGCCATTTGGCAGCGTACCATGGATCAGATTCTGGAAGGAACTTCTGGTATTAGTTGTATCCTAGATGATATGATTGTGACGGGTAAAAGCGACGCAGAGCATATGGCTAACCTGGAGGAGGTCCTTCGCCGGCTGCACCACCATGGGTTAAGAGCCAATAAATCGAAGTGTGAGTTCTTCAAAGAAAAGATCACGTTCTGTGGCCACGACATTAATAGTGAAGGCCTGCACAAGACCACCGACAAGACAGCTGCAATGGTGAATGCCCCTCGCCCCCAGAGTGTTGGAGAGGTACGCTCCTTCCTGGGATTGGTGAATTATTACCACAAATTCCTGCCAAACCTTGCTACAATCCTGCATCCTTTGAACCAAATGCTGGAAAGTAACTACCAATGGAACTGGACAGATCAATGCGAAGAAGCCTTTTGCAAAGTTAAAGCAATGATTGTTTCAGATCTGGTGCTTACACATTATGATCCTAACCTTCCCGTACAACTGGTTTGTGATGCTTCACCTGTAGGAATTGGAGCGGTACTGTCCCATGTCATGACAGACGGCACAGAGCGCCCGATAGCGTTTGCATCGAGATTCCTGTCGAAGGCGGAGCGCAACTACGCACAGATAGATAAAGAAGCACTAGCTACAGTGTGGGGAGTCAAGAAATTCCACAATTACCTTTTCGGTAGGAACTTTACCTTACTGACTGATCATGAGCCTCTCACTTCAATCTTTTATCCCAGAAAAAGTCTTCCTGTTGTCACTGCTGCTAGATTACAACGCTACGCTTTGTTCTTGGCGAGTTTTGACTATACAATTAGATATAAGAACACCAAGTTACACGGGAATGCCGATGGTTTGTCTCGATTACCCTTGCATAGTGAGACAACAGAAGAAGAGCCAGATCCAGTGGGCCTCTTCTATGCCACGCAGTTTTGAGCCTTTGCCAGTCACAGCGGAACAGGTCAAACGAGAAACACAGAGAGATCCTCTATTGGTGAAGGTCTATGGGTTAGTTATGAAAGGATGGTTCACTCCACAAGATGAAGCGATTAAACCGTTTTACCAGCGGAAAGACGAACTGACAGTTCACTGTGGTGTCCTAATGCTTGGACACAGAGCAGTCATTCCTGCAAAGTTGCGTAATCAAGTGTTAACCGAGCTTCACGAAGGTCACCTCGGTATTGTTAAAATGAAGTCTCTGGCGCGAAGTTACATCTGGTGGCCCAAAATTGATAAGGACATTGAGCACCTAGCCAAGAGCTGCCCTGGTTGTCAACTTCAACAGAATGAAGCCGGCAAAGTACCACTACACCCTTGGGAATGGCCAACCACACCTTGGCAGAGAATCCATTTAGATTTTGCTGGGCCGTTCCTAGGACGAATGTTCCTTATCATTGTAGATGCACACTCGAAGTGGCCTGAAGTGGAAATAATGCCATCCACCACATCGACGCAGACCATTGACCGACTCCGAATTATTTTTGCCCGATATGGAGTGCCAGCACAGGTGGTGACCGACAATGGGCCACAATTTACATCCGCAGAGTTCCAACTATTTTTGAAGACTAATGGTATCAAACATATTACCACGGCCCCATTCCACCCTGCAACCAACGGTCAAGCGGAACGTTTTGTTCAGAGTTTCAAACATGCTATGAAATTCGAGAAACAAAGTGCATCCCAGCTGAAAACCAATATGGCAAAGTTCCTTTTGGCTTACCGGAATACCCCGCATTCGACGACTGGAGAATCACCGTCCGTGTTGTTTTTGGGCAGACCGCTACGGACTCGCCTCGATTTGGTGAAACCTGATTTACAAATGAAAGTGATGAACAGGCAAATCGATCAAGCAGGGAGGAAAGGACATTCCCCCACACGTCAGTTATCAATTGGTCAGACTGTCATGGCACGTAACTACAGTGGGAAAGACAAGTGGCTACCAGGCATAGTTCGAGCTCAAACGGGACCCCTTTCGTACGAGATAAGGGTTCGTCCAAATCGAATTTGGCGACGTCACATCGACCAGCTTCGAGCCTCGAGTGTGAAAGTAAATGACCAGAGTGATGATACGGCTGAACCTCATCCAGAGCTCGGAGAGACTGGCCAGAATATTGCACCAGCAGAAGAAATTGTCGCAGAGCCGGATATCGAACTAGCCACAAATCCACCAGTAGTGCAACAACAAGAAGCCGGTAGGGCTACAACAGGATCTGAACAACGCTACCCAACTAGGTCACACCAACCACCCGTGAGGTGGGGTCTTAACTGTTTGATCCGAAAACTGTTTAAGAAAACTACATAGAGAACTGCTTTATTACTTACTGTTATGGTTAGCATAATTGTTCGAACACGATAGTGAACTCATGAACAATATTTTATGATACATTCCTTAAGAGGAGAGATGGTGTTAGATATATAGATATAGACGGACAGCGGTCATACGCACGCGGACATGCGCATTACATATGTAGATCGGCCATGCTTATGTATTATTCATATTTTGTTAAAAGTATAATCTAAATACACGACAGTGCTGGTCCTAAATATATTAATTTTTATACTGATTAAAACTTACTTGGCTAGATTTAATTTACGCAGGCTAAATTGCAATTTTAGCAATATAAACTAAAACAGGTTATATCTATGATGTTCAGTGGCGTAGCCAAGGGGGGGGGGGGGCGAGGGGGGGCGGTCGCTCCCCCAATCGCAAAAAAACTATTCTCTGAAACTATTTCCGTCACTGCTTATATCTATGATGCTTGTGATGTTACTCCGAGTGTATATCCACACCGAGCCAACCTGAAAAATATGCCTATACGATATATACCGTTTCACGATAAACCCTGTAAATGTTGACTCAGTATTACGTATATATTTCATCCAAAACATGCAGGTGATTTACACACGTAAGAACGCACAAGCTATTATGCTGAAGTCGTACTAATCACCTATCACACGTAAAATTTAATTTCAAGGTAGATTTTAATTAATTAATAATTTTCAACAAAGTAATTGGCTATTTGACAAAAATCATGAAAATTTATTTGTAATGTATGCATCATACTCCATTTATGATTTTAGGTGTTGACAGTCGTATTTTTGACAAGCTATTATGCGAAGTCGTACTAAGGGACCGCTCATTATTTATTGTACAGGGGGGGAGGGATTGAGGAGAAACTGGGGGGCCTTTAATTTTTTTAAAGCCTGAAAGAGGGGGCTTTGAAAAAATACAGAGAGGCGAAAGAAGGGGGGGGGGGGCTTTGAAAAGATTTACCAGTTTGAAAAAACATTAGTAGTTTTAAAAATGTATCACAAAACAACTTAACAACAAATAACAATGTTTATAGACCTATTACGATATTCATAAATGGAAGCCAAATAAAAAGTCTCTTATGTTCATGTAAATAGACAATTCCCATTATAGACTAATTTTAGAACGAGGAAAACAGATGCAAATCAAGGCCGAATTTTGGTGAAAATAGTGGGGGAAGTGGGAAAAAATTTTATTTTAGGGGAGGTGTAGCGGTCTAGCTCACAACCCCCATGGAAAGTTAGGGCTTATTGTAGAACGGGCCAATATCAACGAGGGTGAGGTATGCATGTAGTGTACATATGTACCAGTGTATCGATGAATTATGAATGTATATATGACTCCAATCTTGCCCTTCATTACAATTGCTACAAAGTTTCTTTCAAAACATTGCATTAAAAGGGTACTTGATCACAGAGATGAATGGCTATCACTGTTTCGATTTTTCAGAGAAAACTTTCTTTTAATACGTCACGAAGTGTAGATCCTAAGCAACCATCACATTTTCACTTTGTTCCATCATTGAAACTTTCCCAAGAGGAGGTGCATGACCTTTCAGGAGAGGTGCAAAAATTCTCAGGGGAGGTGCAAACGATCTCAGGGGAGGTGCGCACCTCTCCACACCTCCCCTCAATATCCGGCCTTGATGCAAATAAATCACCACAGCTAGAAAGAGCATACTGAAATAAGTAAATTATTGCAAAGTTTGGTTGTGAAATGTTATAAAATACGAAAATATAGCCTTGCAAAGTTTGCAAATTTTATATAATTTTTTTATTGCATGCAAAAATTGCAATAGAAAAGTGTACAAAATTTCCAAACTTTGGAAGGCTATATATTTTTTACATTTTACAACATTTTGCAACCAAACTTTGCAATTTTATTAATTTTAGTATGCCCTTCCCGGGAATATAGTTTTTTTGCTAAGATAAAAAATTAGTCTATAATGGGAATTTTCTATTGGTCCCCATTATCTATTTTTGTTTCTCTATATAAATAGCTAGAGTTTTTGTTTCTCTAAATAAAGATAAAGAGCTAGGGGGGTGTGTGTGTGTGTGTGTGTCAAAATTTATGTTCTTGTTTTGCCTGTTGGGGGGGGGGGCTTTGAAAATTTTACTTGTCATAAGAGGGGGGCAACGAAAAAATATTATAACTGTGGAGTTTCTCCTCAATCTCCCCCTGTACAATAAATAATGAGCAGTCCCTAATCACCTATCACACGTAAAAACGCGCTTTTTACGCGTGATAGGTGATTAGCGTCAACGCTGAGATCCCTGATGCATGGGCACGTGGCTCCAACCTCGTCCCCAGGGCCTTTTGAGGAAAGAGGCGAAGGGCTGCCCTTCGCATCTTTCCTCAAAAGGCCCTGGCGACGAGGTTGACGTGACTCATGGTTACCTGAACTACATGATAGCAAGTGGTTATAATTTAGCTGGAATATTTACATTAAAGGGGGACAAAATGTTCGAATGGGGAGCAAAATGTTCTAGGAAAGGGCGAAATATATCCTGTGAGCCCTTTTTATGAATTTGATCATTTAGGGGAAATGTTACCCAGGCCCCTCATATGTCTTCGAGCGGGCGGCCCTGGGAAAACCGCGGTATGTAGACTATTAGCACCCGCCTTTTCCGTCTACGGCCTAATGTCAGTAAACAAGGGCGATTATCCATTCCAGAAAGTGTGTGTATGAGTGGGCGAGGGGGGTTAGAGCCGGCTGTTACCCATAATTCTTTGCGCCCTGTGAAGAAAAAATTATCTCTCCAATTTAGATCTCAGTAACTATGGTTAAACATTACCTCGAAATAAGCTAGCATTGCATGCGTTCTTGGGTTTTTTTTAAATATCTTGTTTCGTTCTCACTGATATTCAGCTTTTTAAAACATGTAAATTAGGTCAAAAGTGACGTCAGTTACTCCAGAATATTAAATCAGATTTAGAAAACGATGAATATCTTTCTTCGTGATGGGCAAAATTCACTCGATCTTTGCAGCACTATAAGCTACTGCTATGTCGTACATACACATTTCGATGTGTACCGCATACATTGCTTCCCGACAAAAAATAACTACTTCACTAAAAAATGTTACTCAGTTCCCC